AATTACTCAAAAAATTTAGCTGATATTATTATTATCCAAAGTATTTCCTGCAGGACTTTGAATTATGGAAAAAGACAGCATTGAGCCGTTTTACTGCCGGGTAAAGGTTCTTTAGGCAATAATTTATACTCTCATAAGCACGCTTAAAAATTTTATCGAACCCCTGCAATGTCCAAAGGACCATCCTAAATACTGGAGAGAAATCGAAGATAGAAAAATGCACATTTGTCGCCCCTAGAGGAACTTAAAATTTAGAAGAAGAGACAAAATAGTTTTAGAATGTCAACCTGGTGGAAGGGAGAAAAACATGCCCCTCGAAAAGATATTCACGTCCAAATCCCTGGAACCTGTGAATGTTTGTCATCTTATTTGGAAATTGAAAAAAGGAGGAGGATGTGACCAAATTAAAATGTGGGATTATCTGGATGATTTGGGTGAGCTGGAAATGCAATCACACATATCCATTTAAGAGGGAGGAGGGGGAGGTTTCATACACAGACGCGGGGAAAGCAGGTGGTGTGAGGACAGGGCAGAGAGATCTGAGGACTCCACTTTGGAGGTTTGAGTGACACGGCCACAAGCCAAGAACCACCAGGGTCTGGAAGGGGTGAGGAAGGATGAGCCCCGAGAGCCTCCTACAGACTCTGATTTCAACCCGGTGGTTCTGATTTTGGACTTCAGCCTGCAGAACTAGGAGGGGATAAATTTCCAAGTCACCACGTTCGTGGCAACTTGTTACAGCAGCCACAGAAAACTTATGCATGCTGTGTGTGTGAGTTAAAATCCATCCCTGTCCTCCCGCTTTTAAAATAATGACATAGCTCCTCAACACAGCCTACGAAAGAGAGAGACACAGGATCCATCATCCACCTGCACGGTTTGAGGGTAAAACAGAGTGTTGACCAGCGCCCAGCCCTCGCCCCATGGCCACACCGTATCGTCCGCCTTCATGCAGCACCGAGCTCTCTGCGGCTCTCTCACCCCGGTAACTCTTCTAACCCTCCTCTTGCACATCCTGCCCCCTCCACCCAGCTCACACCAGCCCATCTTCCAGATGAGGGGGGTCTTCCCAGCTGCTCTAGGTCAAATGCCGTCGCACCTGCGTTCACAGGTACTTGCTCTGTCCTCGGAGAGCAGGTCACGGTGCTCAGTTTAGGTCCCTTCGTGTACTTGACATTTTTCTCTATCTCCCCGTGAACTACAAGTCCCACGAGGGCAGCGCCCACATCTATTGGAGGGCTCTTCTCTCGCTGCCGTACTCCCCGCGCCAGCCCGGTGTGGGGCACTTCGCTGTGCTCAGAAGGAAGTTACGATCACACAGCAGCGAAAGGGAGGGAATGAGGGAGCCAAGGAGAGAGAGGAAGAGGGGACGGATGACTATGGGGCTGCCCAGGTTTGAGCTTTCAGTTTACAGCGATGGAGCTACGGTTTGTGGCTCTCTGACTTCTACAGAGACTGGCGCTAAGCATCCCTGGTTGAAGGACCCCGCAGTACCAGATCCTGCATCCTCACAGCACCTGAAAATAGTCCCTGCAGAGTTCTGTGTCCACCGAAAGCACGTGGCCTTTGATATTTGTTAGATGAATAAATGGATGATGGATGGATAAAAGGATGGATGGATGAATAATGATTGGATAAATAAATGGGTGATAGACAAATGGATAGATTAATTAGAAATAAAGGAGAGTAACAGCTTCTACAAAAAAATATTTTTGGAGTTTTTGTGTTGTTTTTTCATTTTTTTCATGGCATTTAGAATGACACTAAATTAAATAGATCCTCAAACTTCGAATTCTACCTTTCTATGCATACGTTTTAATATAATCATATTTTTATTTAACTCTTTAATGCAGAGAAAATAAACCTTAATGGCCTTCCATCCTTCAGCCTTTTAGTTTTGACAAAGTTTGAAGTTAAACGATAGTCAGCCTCCCTCTTCCCCTCCCCATCTCATAGACCCATGCACCCCACCAACTTGCTCCCTTCCTGATATTTTTACCTTCCCTGGAAAGCCCCTGACCCCTGGAGAAGGTATCACTGTATAAGGAAGCTTGTTTCACTGCAGGCCTGTTGGAGAACAACATTCCCTGAATGAGAGGTGGTCCTCTGCCGCCAAGAAGCCCTAAACGTGGAAGCTCTTCAGGACGGTGGCTGGTCCGGGTGGGAGGCGGGCAGAGCGTGCGGCCAGCTCAGCCCTGGGTGCAGGGACCACATCACCGCCACAGCTCCTGGACCAGCGCAGCAGGTCTCTGAGCATCTTCCTCCCACCAACATTTGCAAGAGAAAATAACTGGAGAGGTACATGCAGGTGAGGGTGTTGACAGGTGACCTACATGTGGCAACCTTCTTGATTTTGAATTTAACAATCACTTTGCTCTCTGCCCATCTCCAATCTCCTTCCCATTCATTTTTCTTCTCCACCTACCCTCCACACACCTGCCCCTCTCAGCAAGTTAAGAGCACTGTGTTAAAACTCATCTGCAGGCTGGCACCATGGTGCCCTAAGACAGGCTTCCAACAAAGGTTAGATCTTAAACAGAAGACACGAGCTCTCTTGACAATTTGATGTAAGGCCATTCTCCAGAAAAGTTTGGGACCCTAGGACAAGGTTGCTGGTAAAACTTTTTGTTTCATCCATAGCTCCTAGGTCCCAAGGGCATAGAAGCATAAGCAATGAAATTTTATTTTTGTTTTTTAAAAGATCTGTAATAGGGTGGGTTTGCTCTATGACTAGTGATTTTCTGCTCATGAAATTTAAACATGTGTAGGACATGAGGACGTTAGCCTGGTATTAAAATGTGCATTTTGTTTCATTCAAGGATTCCTATTGGGAAAGACAAGTTGCTGAAACACATAATTTAATATTTGATAATAATTATTTTTCAATCAGCCCTAAACAAATTGGCCACCTTGGATGTGCGTTGACTCCCAATTAAAATCCTTTAAAATGTTGTCTATACTTGATTGTAAGTTGGTTTAGAACTTTCAGGTGCTCAGAGAATCTTAGATGGGAGGTAACATGAACACACTGGGAAAAGAACTGAGCTGTCCCTGAGTTTATAAATTATATCTGCATCATGAAGCTCAATTTCATACAATTTGATGACATTAGGAGTGTTAATTATTTCCTTGTTCTTTGTCATACTGTGAATAACCACTGAATTACCTGCCATGTGTTCAGTACCCAGCTAATTGCCATATAAAGTTTCCACACATCACCAATTCACTTTTGAACTATCTGGCTGAGTTCTCCCAATTCAACACACAGACTATGTCACATGCTGTGCTTACAGTATCATTCACAAGCTGATTTTTGCACACCTAGAAAACAGGCTTCTACAGCATAGAGTACCTCATTTAAGGACATTTTCAGTGTTTCCACTCGAAAAACTTCAAAAATATCAGGGGAAATACAGTGCTCTTCAACACTGCTCAGTCTCATAAAGAAATCAGTAGCAGAACTAGGTACGTAACTGAGAAAACACAATAGTTAGGTCATGTTTACAAAGCTGTGCTCTACCTTTCTTAATAAAACCTTGTTACTGCAGCATAAAAACAGAGAAGTCCATACCTATTATAAAACCAAGTGACAACCAATAAAAGAAAACATAACTGGTAGCAATACTCAAGCCAGCTGAGCTGTTGTTGCTGTGGATTTAGGAGTTTTTTTTTTTTTTTTAACCTCACGTCTGCCTGAGTTGGATTCATCAAATTCATCAACCTTTTCTTTGATTTCCTGTCTCATCATAAATCCCGGAAGCTCTGGTCCTCAGGATTGTTCCAACTCATCGTTAGGAGATGTGAGCCCATCTCGACTGCACTTTGAAGACAGCAGAGTAGGGTGAACATAAATTTCCCTTCCTCAATCGTACCGGCACAAAAACCCAACAAGTGAGCTGTCTCAATCTATTATCAGAGCCAAAGCAAAACAACCCCAGTGATGCTGGGAGAAACTCAGAGAAAGAGAATTCATGTAATTAAAAGATTCTGTGCATGATAATTGGCTTCGAAGTTTCCAAGAGAGATCTCGTCTCCAAAGCTTCACGGAAAATATGTGTGCAGGGTATTTCCAGCACACACTGGAGACCGCTGAGAAGCTCCACTCTCCTCCCCACAGATTTCTCTACAGGAGAGAGGAGCTTGGTGGCGGAACCACACACAAATAAACAGCCCTGATCAATAATGAGAAGGAACTGGGGGTCCCTTCCACAATCTCCTGTGCAAATCAAGCAATTTCTCTTCAAGGAATGACTGGCTGAGGGGCTTCCCAACTCGCTCTTCCTGTGACAGGCAGGGACGTTGACAGAGGGGACAGGAGGAGGACTGGGGAAGTTCTGCCTTCCCCGGCAGCCGCAGGCCAGGCCCTGCTGGGATGCCTCGGGTCACAAGTGACAGCTGAAACTCCTCCTGCACCCCGTGGGGCTGGCACCAGCTCCCGAAGGCGGAAGCCCAGACCCTGTGCTGACTGAAACCAGGGCTGCCCCTTCAGAGCGGACCCCCGGGCCGCACGTTCAGCAGCCTGTGAGGCCCCGACTACCACCCCCTACTCCAGGAGGGCTCAGAAATTATTACTGTGTCGGGACGGGTCAGTGCCAGCAGGGAAAGTCAATTCCAAATTCTGGGAATCTTCCTGGTCATCTCGACCAGCTCCCCTGGCAGCTGGCTCAGCCCTCCGGAGGCCACCTTTCTGCTCAGGGGCCTCCCACACCCCTCCCTTCATTAAAAAGACCCTCTGGAAACAGCGAATTTCCTCCTTGTCCCTCACCTAAGACCCCCCACCCTCGTCCTCAGGGGAAGCACCTGCGTGCGGCCAAGGGGCCAGCAAGGACCTTGGCTGCCCCCCCGCGGGCGCGCGCGCGTGCACACACAGACACACTCACACACAGACACACACACACACAGACACACACTCACACTCACACTCCCTCCCACACACTCACTCCCTCCCACTCACTCTGAGCGAAGTTGGTCCCAGGCCCGGGTGGCGGCGGCCTCCTCACCTTTGGAAAACAGGGCGGCCAGGCTGATGAGCACCGGGGACCAGCGCTGCCACAGCGTCCCCATCTCAGACGCGCACATCCTGGGGGGCCGGAGCGCAGGTCCTCTGCTCCCCGGCGCCGTCCGGGCGAAGAAGAGACGGTCCGGATGCGCGGAGGGCCGGAGCGCGGCTGGCGAGGGAGCGGCCGGCTAGGGGCCCGCGCGGCCCCGGCGCCCTGCGCCCTCCTCCCGCCGGGCCATGGCCGGGTCTGCAGGCGGCGACCGCGCGGGCTCCGGAGTTGCTCTCCGGAGTGGCGCGCGCAGGCAAACCCCACCTCCCCTTCGCCCCCGACAGGGTCCTTAAAAATTGTTGAATCCACGAGGGGTACCTCCTCTCCTGTTCGCCGAAGCGAGGAGCGGCCCCGGGGCCCAGGAAGGGGCGCCTCCGGGCGCGGGGCGGAGGGGGCCGCGGCGGGCCCGGCTAGCTGAAGCGCGCGGCGGCGGGCCGGCGGGGCTGCGGCGCCCGGGGCGCGGGCACAGGCTGTGAGGAGGCCCCCGCGCGGGTGGCCGGGCGCGCGGGGCGGCCCGGGGCGCCCTGGCTCGCCGCCCCCATCCCGGGCCGGCCGCTGCGCCCCGGGGCTCGCTCGCGCGCGCGCTCCGGCGCCCAAAGTTTGGCGGCCGCAGCTGCTCCCCGGGCCGCCGCCTCGGCCCGCCGGCCCCGGGCCCGGCTCGGGCTCGCGGGGCTCTAGGCGCGCAGAGCGCACGGCCGGCTCCGGAGACGCGGGGCTCCCCCCTGCGCCCGGGGGAGGCGGGCCAGATGTGCGCGGGGGAGGACACGGCGGCTCGGGGACGCGGCCGTCCGCCGCAGCTGCCGCCCGCCAGCCGGCGCGGTGGCCCCGCTCGGCGAGGACCGCATCCGGAGCGCAGGCGCCCGCCACAGTGCCCGGCGCGGGCTTGGGGTTTTGCCTTAAAAATTTGCCTGTTTTCAAAAAGCCCCACCCTTTCGGAGTGACAGCCGGGAGCCCCAATCCGCAAAGTAAATCCCACCTCCCCCTGGTCGGCCGCTCCCAGCCTCCCCGCCCCTCCCCGCGCGCGCGGACGGGAGGCGGCGAGCACCCGGAGCAGGGAGCCGCCCACTCGCCCAACAGGTGTCTAGGCGGCCATCCGCCTCCCTCGCCCTTAAAAACCTCGGGCTGAGCGAGGCCCTCCGGCCCGGGGGGCGTGTAAGGCGCTTGGCCGGGCGGTGAGCGCGCAGACCGCAGGCGAGGGGCATCGTCCAGAGATCTGAGCGCGCAGGCCTCTCACCTGCCGCCCTGAGGTCCTGCTGGGCCCAGGCCCCGCCCTAGAACGAAACCCCGGTTACTGTCCCTGGAAGCATTTCATTGTCTCACTCCCCAGCGGGCCCAGTGGACCGGGGTCAGCATTGCCTTGAGAAGACAGAAGACGAGACTCTTCATGTCCTGCTTCCTGAATCTCTCATCAAGACACCCCCCAACCCAAGATCACTGAGCCCCAACCTGTGATTGCTCTGCTCCCTGAGAGTCTCTGAATTAACCAGAGCAAAAATCAGAGCGAGGGAAAGTGTTCTGAATTTTTAAGCGATCTTGTCAACCAACCACCGCCAAATCGGAGGAGGCAAATTGACCTCCGTAGGTAAAAATGGGTTATTACCATCTGGCTGAGGGAGCAATAGATGCTTTACTCGATGTGCCCGCGATTGCAAAAAATACACCAAAGCTTGTAAGAGTCTTTAGCTTTCAAAGTTTCCAGGAAGATCAGAAAAAACCCACTGCTGTTCTATAGAAGATGGTCTTTCTGGGCTCACTGTCTTTGAGCTGTGCACGTCTTTATTCTACGTTTGCTTTGCTGAATGTCTTTCTGATTTTCTTTTGTTTATTTCTTAAACTTTCTACCTATCCTGTTTGTATCTCTCTCCTGTATAATTCCTAAGAATGTCAGAGAACCTAAAAGGCTGTGTATTTCACTGTTTCTGAAATTCAAGCCGGAGGCCGCAGCACCCGGACAGCTTGTTCGAACCTGGACTGCTGGGCCCATCCCCAGAGCTGATTCAGCAGGTGTCCGCGGGACCCGAGGTCTGAATTCCCAACAAATTCCAGGTGATGTTGATGATGCCTGGAGGAGGAACACACACTGGGGCCGCTGGTGTACGCCCTCCTTCACGAGCGGAAACCGAGGTTTCCTCCCTTGAACCCCTTCCCCTGGCCTCTGAGGGTCAGAGCCAGTCTGCTCCAGATGCCTCCTCAACGCCCCTTCCTCAACGCCACACTCCCATTCTAATGTGAAACTGAGGCTATATTTAAACGACTTCTCGAATTTATTGACTAGAAACGAATAGTCCTCGTTCGTTATTACAAACAAGCACTTTATATTTTTCTAAATCAAAGTGAGGCTTTTCCCTGAATTGCAATCATCAGATACCTTTTTTTTTTTTGTCATTACAAAAGATTTTTGTATCTGTATCCTTAAAATAAAAGGTGATTGACAAATTCTAGCTGCTGCCTAAAATGTTAAACTGTTTCTTCATTGTGCATCGTTGGGTAGACAAAAGTTTTTTCTACTCTTTGGTGTGGAAGCTTTCTTGGGAAGCTGCAACTCCAGATACTTACTCGGTGGCTAAAATAAGATGTAAGAATGGCTTCTAGCTCTCTCTCACCAGTATACTGTTCTCAAGAACACACCTAATCTTGTTTGAGTAATTAGCACAGCTAATTGTGGGGGAAGGAGTAGCGTAGGACTGGGAGATGTCTGCTGAGGCCTGCCAGGTCCCTTAGCTCTAGCC